TCAATAGTATAAATATTTTCGTGCTAGAATTGCATTGAAGTATAGCTCTCTCCTACATTAAAGCTTCTATTGTTACCCCTATAGGGCAGTGTAATGCATGAGGCTCCTGCTAATGCAGGGTCTGGGGAGGGACAGATGTATGCAGCCTTAACCCTGAAGAATGGGCTGTTCCTAACTCAAAAAGGTCGAACCTTTCTGGGTGGAAAGGTTCAATTTTTAAATCCTGAATCAGCCCAACATAGAGGAAATCAAATTTCCATGAGAGAACAGTGTTCTCTCCTAGGACCGGTCTAGCATAACTATAAAATTTTGTTTTAGAGATTGGGTAGAATGTTACCTGATCCAGATGCCACAAATGCAGCTCCAAAGTGGTGAAACATGCCCAAGGATTCTGCTGAAATCGCCCTCCAAAGCTGAAGATGGTGCAGCTCAATATTGGAGTTCGATCCAATCACAATAGTGAGAACTCGATGTTGATCTTTTGTACTGCTTTGGACGGATCCAATATCCAAATTTGTGCAGCTTTTTATCACTCAAAGGTTGATGTTTTTTCTGGAAAAACACAAAAGGAAAGAGAAAAAAAGAGCCTCCTTTCAGTCTTGGTCAAACTAGGTTTTGGGTAGATAATCTTGTGATAATTTTCTCTCTCTAATCTCCTACACTATCTTAAATAGAGCTTCACTTTTAGTGTCCTAAAAGGAGTTTCCCAATTGATTTATAACTGAATTAGAAAATTATTCTAATCAAATTAGGTGTGTGAGAGAAAAAGGTAGTTTCCTAATTCTACCTATATACTCCAACTAAATAACTTCATTGTGAAATTAGGTAAGCGTCTCATCAAATTAGTCTTGCTGGAGTTTATTTCAACCTATTAAGCAATCTTATTTTCTCATTTATTTGATTGGTCAATTTGGCCTGAACCTTGTATGGAGGACCCACTAAGCTCCCAAAATCAAACAATATGGGTTTGGCTCATGCATTAAAACACATGGCCCGAATTCACTAGTAAGACCTAGTGAACTGCCAACCTAATCTTATTGGGCTTAGAACTGGTCTAACACTTAAAAACATCCTATGAGCCCAAACCCAATGGTTTAACCTAAGAAAAGTGCCCATTAGGTTTTAGCCTAACCAAACACTTGCTCTTAACCTCTCAATCAATAACATCAGTACAATGCCCACAAAGGACCTCTTCTCTAATTGGAAGATGCAGTGTCGCACCTTCTACTTAGATGGATCCTAGGATTAAAACCTTTTGCAAGCCCTTTTATAGACTAAACTATTTATAGATATAAATACATTTTGCAAATTGATATCAAAACAATTTGAAATCCATTACTGATAGTTTTAGGCTTCCATTAGAGAGAGTGTAAACTAAGATATTCACTTTGCTTGACAAAGTGGTTGATCCTATCACAATGATCACCCACTTGAGTGTTATTTCAAACAGCTCCAGCATATCCAAATATTTGACCCTAAGTGGATTTCATTGGTTGGCATATCAAAAACAGCTCAATCCAACACTTAGTGAAGTATCGTTATCAAGTTTGGGGTTGAGTGCAATATCCTAATTTTTCCCATCCAAGTAATAGCTAGAAATTGTCCTTGTTCAGTGTTTCACTAAACACCCACTCATTATACCTTAGATCTAACCCTAATAGTTGTGGCAAACTATTCCACCAATTCGGTAGTACAATAGTGTCAACCTTAACATGATAAATTTTCTAAGTTTGTCAAATGGCTGAGAACATTTTAAGCTAATATGAGTATCATAATTGTTCAATTTAAGGGGTAAACCACATAAACATACCAAAATACACATGAAATAACAATTTTCTGATTTCATTCAATAATAAACATTAGATTATTTCAGTCTGGTATTGGTTGGAGTTGAGGGTATACATTATCTAACAACCCCTGATATATATATATCCCCTATCTTGGGAATAACATCACTTTGGTTTGGCCCTATCAAATTTCCCAAAATTCCTTTCAACCTATTTGCTAAAGTTTTGTCAATTACTTCAAATATAGTGTTGCATAGGCAAATAAGTCTGTACTGTGAGGATTCTTCTGGATTCTTCACCTTGGGGATTATAAAGCCATAACTTTGATTTACCTCCTCTAATTAGAAATAATTTTTGTGATGGATAAAAGAAGAATTTTATTAAAATCCAGAAGAAATATAGGAAAGGAGAGCAGTGAGATTCAAACTCTCACATGTAACATAAAAATTTCAACAACCCACAACAAATGAACCCTAGTATCCCTTGTTTGGCTAAAGTGTCTACCAAACCATTAGCCAATCTTTTTTTTGACGAATAAGAAAGCATTTCATTAAAAATTTTTAAGAATGGTTTACAAATGATACATCATTTAGTTTCCTCAAGAGGCATGAGGTGCTGCCTCAAAAGTCAAAATAAATTACAGTATAGCCTAGAAAAGTTGACTCCTATTCACCCCTTGCTTAATGGTAGGTCTGCCAACCCATTTTCCAATCTTCTCTCCCACTGAATTCTGACTGTTATATTAGAAGTTAGTCATTCGAATCTTCTCATCGCCCCCAAAAGGCCAAGCCGCTGTCTCCTGTTCTTTTAGCCACCCAACTACCACTTTCGGCTTTCCTTCTATGACCAGATTTTTGAGGTTCAACTCTTTAGAAATTTGAGCCCCTTGTAAAATAGCTTGGACCTCTGCACTAACTGCATCCCCCACTCCAATTGGACCAGAGAATAAAAGCCACTATCTGTTCCTCTGCATTCCTACAAACTCCCCCAATCCCATAGGGCCCAGGATTACCAAGGCTGCTTCCATCAAAGTTTAGTTTTGTAAAACTTGCTTCCGGAGGCTTCTAGGCTACAACAGGTTTGTCCTTAACCGAAGAAGCTTTAACAACTAGTTCCCAGTTTCTCCATATGTCATCAAAGGAGAAAAGTGAGAATAGGTCCATAGCTTTAGCCCAGTTAATAGCTATAAAAAATAGACATTCCCACATAGAATCCTTATCCCTTTCTTTGTCATTAAAAATTATGTTATTCCTTTCCTCCCAAACTATCCAAACTAAAGCCTCCCTCACACACCTCCATAAGACTCTCTCTTTTCTTAGGCTGCTTGAAAGTATTAAGGTCGAAAAGCTCCCCCGATTTGCAAAGGCCTCCTCCACTTGTACCCCAAAAGACTAAAGATCTTTTCCCAAATTTTCACAACAAAAGGGCATGATGTTAGAAGATGGCAACAGCTCTAACCTTGATTCAGACCTTCATTAACTCGATATCAAGAATGTATTTCTAAATGGTGATCTTGAAGAAGAGGTGTACATGGTACAACCCCCTGGTTTTCGGGTTCAAGGCGATGAACAAAATGTGTGTAGGTTGAAAAAGTCATTATATGGCCTGAAACAACCACCAAGACCCTGGTTCAGCAGACTTCATGTAGTTGTACAACAAAAAGGCTACAAGTAGTGTCAATCTGATCACACATTGTTTGTGAAAAGAGGGGAAGGAAAAATTGCAGCCTTGATAGTGTATATTGATGATATAATTATTACTGGTGATTGGAAAGATGAAATTCAAAAGTTGAAAGGATTTCTCGCTACTCAATTTGAGGTAAAAGATTTAGGTCCTTTAAGGTACATTCTTGGAGTTGAAGTTGCTTGCTCACAAAAATGTATCTTCATTTCCTAAAGAAAGTATGTCTTAGATCTGTTATAGGATATAGGGAAATTGAGAGTGAAACCTGTTGATTCTCCTCTTGATCCTAATCACAAATTAGGTGATTGTCAAGGTAAATTCATTAAGGATGAAAGCAATTTTAGTGGCTTGTAGGAAGATTGCTATATCTATCTATGACTTGACCAAACATTGCTTATGTAGTGGGTATTCTTAGTCAATTCGTGCATGCACGTAAGACCACCCACCTTGAAGTAGTTGAAAGAATTCTAAGATATCTTAAGAAATTTCCAGGTGCAGGTTTATTGTTCCAAAAGCACGGGCATTTGAATGTTGAAGTGTATATCGATGCAGATTGGGTAGGACCATTGAATGATAGGAAGTCTACCAATGACTATTGTACCTTTGCGGGAGGGAACCTAGTCACATGGAGAAGTGAAAAGCAGAATGTGGTGGTTAGGTCTAGTTTTGAAGCTGAATATAGGGCAATGTCTCATGGAGTGGTTGAAATTATGTAGCTAAAGAATTTGTTGAATGAGTTGGGAATTATAGTTGATGGGCCTATGACTTTATATTGTGATAACAAGGCAACCATAACCATTGCTGCTAACTCAGTGTTGCATGATAGAACCAAATACATTGAGGTAGACAAACATTTTATCATTGAAAAAGTTGTCAAAGGGAAAGTGTATACCCCCTATGTCAGTTCCGAAGACCAATTCATGGGCACCTTCACAAAAGGGTTACATAACTTGTGGCATAATGATCTATGTGACAAGTTGGGCATGATTGACATCTATGTTCCAACTTGAGGGGGAGTGTTAAAAGGCTGTTTATTATATTCAGTTTAGTACTACAAGGGTACTATTGTAATTTTCTCTCTTTTTATATGTTTATGATCACCCTAATATAAATACTAAAACTGGCGCCACCAGCTTAGATTTTTGGCTTTCAAATCTCTCTTCTCTCTTCTCCTCTCTTCTGGACAATACAATCTATGCTCCTAAACTTCTTGCTATGATATCCTACAATATGTTAGTTCATAAAATTTCCATGTATTTCTTGTCCAACCAATTTCATGACCATGGCATGTCAATATGTAGATTTACAGTCATTTATCTCAAAAATTCTAGGTAAGAAACCCTATGAACCCTCATGACCACCAAAATTTTCCTCATTTCTGTTCAGGATTCTACTTGCATGTTTCGTATTGGTAACCAAAGTTTCAGTTCATCAGATTTACTTCATGTGTTTTTTTTTTTTATTTTGTGGTTTCTTTGCTTGTTCCAACTAACCACATCTTTATGTTCCTCCTTTTATTACTTTTGGCAGGCATGAGTCAAAGTTTATAGAAAAAATTGTTAATGAAGTTTGGATGAAATTAAACAAAACAACGCTGGATGTTGTTGATCACCCGGTTGGAATACATTCACGTGTAAATGATGTGTGCTCTCTTTTAAATCTTGGATCAAATGATGTTCGCATAGTAGGGATCTGGGGTATGGGTGGAATAGGCAAGACAACCATAGCCAAGGCAGTCTACAACCAAATCTTCAACAATTTTGAAGGTAGCAGCTTTCTTGAAGATGTTAGAGAACGTTCAAGGAGCTGGGTTAGTCGGGTTGAGCTACAAGAACAACTTCTTTCGGATATCTTGATGATAAAAGATCTAAATATTGGAAGTTGTGCTATTGGAACTAGTATAATCAAAGGAAGGCTTCGTTTTAAAAAGGTTCTTCTAGTTCTTGATGATGTGGATGGGATAGATCAACTAAAGAAATTAGCTGGAGATCATGAGTGGTTTGGTAAGGGAAGTAGAATAATCATAACAACTAGGGATGATCATTTGTTGAATGTCCTTCAAGTTGATGGAAAATACAAGGTTAAAGCATTAAATGATGATGAATCTATTGAACTTTTTAGTTGGCATGCCTTCAACAAGAAGCACCCCATAGAAGGATACTCTGATCTATCAACTGATGTTGTGCGTTATGTTGAAGGGCTTCCTTTAGCTCTCAAGGTTTGGGGTTCTCATCTATGTGACATAACAAGCACACGTTTATGGGAAAATGAATTAGATAAATTAAAAAAAATTCCTCATGGTGACGTTCAAGGAAAACTTAGAACAAGTTTCGATGCATTAGATTATGACAACAAGGAAGTATTCCTTGATATTGCATGCTTTTTTATTGGAATGGACAAACACCATGTAATTAGAATATTAGAAGGTCATTATTCCAATCCAGAGGGAAGAATAACTGATCTTATTCAGAGGTCTCTCTTAAAACAGAACAGAAACAAGATGAAGATGCATGATCAGATTCGAGACATGGGGAGGGAAATTGTTCGGCAAGAATCACCAAGAAATCCTGGAAGGCGTACCAGATTGTGGTCTAGTGAAGACATTGTTCATGTGCTAGGAAAGCACAAGGTGAGAGCCAATATACAATCCCTCTTTTTTTTTCCTATTTAAAGTTCCCCCCAAAATTAGACTTTAATACATTTACTATGCAAACAATAATTCAAAGATGACTCTTGACAATTTCAATCAAGGTTCAAAATATTGGTATCACATGTTGTATTGGTATGCGTTGATAGGATATGTATCATTATGCACTTTGGATACACATGGATGGAAAGATATGGATGTCCTTGGATACATTGGCGAAACTCTTAAAAATCCTACAAATATATTGATAACAATAAATCTAAAGTTGAAATAACTATGGGCCCGTTTGGTGCATTTTTTTGGGAAGATCTTCTGGTAGCTCTGATATGTAAAAGACACATTGAGCTTTTGCATGAAGATCTGAGCAGCCCGAAGCACATTTGGCAGACGTGTGTCTATGCGCACAAGATAAAAATGCGAAAGATACGAGAAGCTTCATTTGGAGCTTCCCAAAATCAGCCCAAAATGGGCTTCTCGCGTCTTTTGGTGGTTAGATCTTTCGCGTGCCAAACGGAAATAGACCGAAAATCAGTCTTCCTAGCTTGTAAACAGCCAAAAGACCACACGGAAAGACATGCCAAACGGGCCATGTGATTAAGGTCATAGTTATTTCAATTTCATTATGATACACAGGGTATCACTATTTGTATGCTCACTGTTTCACTATTAATATCAATTTCTTTCATTTGTAAAAGAAATAACTATGATTAAGGTCTAAAAATATAAGAAATGCATACTTTGATAGTTTGTATGAAGAGATAGATTATAATCAACAATAACAGGAGTCTAAAACACATAAATATCATAAATAACTTTACTAATAATACATCAAACAATGATTGAGCTTCCAATCTACTAAAAGCTCTCTATAAGACAACTTAAATTTTTGTTGGATCAATGAGTTTGAAAGGTCATTGATGGATCCATCTTATGGTTCTTCATTAACATGAAAATCATTTAAAATATATAAAATAAATGATTGTTTTAATTTTCATTTTTTCTAAAAATTAAGAAAAATTAATTTTGACAAAAATTATTATTATCAATGAGTTTAAAACATATTTATCAAAACAATGAGTTTAAAACATCATTAATGCATCCATTATAATTATTTTCTGCAATGAAAATGATGAGAACCTGCTCACCACAGGAGTCTTCTTCGAGGGAGACTCTGCCTCCTGAAATCAGAAAAGAGAGAGAGAGAGAGAAATCCTGGAAATGGCTCAATAACCTTCTCATTATGCCATGGGCTATTTATAGATGTCGGTACCCGCCTTATCAGCCATAATGGGCCATCTTGTGAGGTCCCCTGGTATACACTTGTTTAATGGGCCTAAATGGGCCATTCACAGTTCTGTCTTTATCAACAGCTCCATCAGAAAATCATTTAAAACTGTGAACAGACCTAAACAGTTCTTAAATAATGTGAAAAATAATACGAAATGGTTCTGAAATAGTAGAGAAGAAGGAAGAACAGGAGAGGATAGAAGAGAAGAAAGAAAAGAACCATGTCTGGGAGGGCAGAGGAGATTGTTGTAACTAATCTCAACTGCCGCCCAACCTTTTATTTTATTTTAATAAATATTGAATTTACAAGAGTGCCCTCACTTAATAATAAAAGAACTGGCAAAAGGATAATAAGAAGTAAAGACTAAACTGACCCTTCTAACGTAATAACTATAATTAAACACTCCCCTCAAGTTTGAGTATATATATCATAAAACTCCAACTTGATACAAATATACTTCATCATGCATGATTCAAGCATTTGGTGAAGAGGTTGGCTAGCTGATCTTTTGACTTTACATAAGGGGTAACAATCTCTCCATTGACAGCTTTCTCCCTTACAAAGTGGTAGTCTATTTCTATATGCTTTGTTTTCTCATGAAACATTGGATTATTAGGAAATATGCATTGCTGCTTGGTTGTCACAAAACAATTTAATGGGAGATGGAATTTTTATTCCTATTTTCTTTAGAAACTGCTTGAACCACATCAATTCACATGTAGCATGAGCCATGGCTCTATACAAAGCCTCTGCACTACTTTTAGCAACTACATTTTGCTTCTTACTCTTCCAAGTGAGCAAATTTCCTCCTAGGGAAGTGTAATACCTAGTTGTGGATTTCCTTTTGGTGATTGATCCTTCCAATCAAAATCTGTATATCCTTCCAATGATAGTTCTCAATGAACTGCCTTCAAATAGTGTAGAACTCTAACAATGCCTTCCCAGTGAACTGCCGTTGTGTTTTGCATGAAATGACTTAACAACCCCACACTAAGGGAAACAGTTGGCCTTTCAATGGTTAAATAGATGATGAGTTTTCCCTAGTCTATTGTATCTTCCTAGGTCATCTAGAAGGTCTCCCTCACAATTAGACATCTTCATATTATAGGAGTACCATTGGTTTTACTCCTAATAAACCTGTTTCATCCAACAAATCAAGCATGTACTTTCTCTTGTGAAACGGAGGTTCCCCACTTTGACCTTGAAATTTCAACACCCAAGAAGTGCTTCAAGTGCCCCAAGCCCTTAGTCTAGAACTGTTTTTGCAAAAACTGTTTCAATTCTTTAATCCCTTGTATACCATTCCTTGTAATAGTAATGACATCAAGATATATGGCCAAGACAATCGTTTTGGAAGAGGTATCCCTACTAAACATTGAGTGATCAACACTGCACTTCTTCATCTCAAACTGTTGTATCGCATTACTACACCTCCCAAAGAAAGCTCTTAGAGACTGTTTCAGCCCCTTGCTTCCTCCTAAGCAACACACCCCAGAGGTTGCTCCATATATACCTCTTTGAGGGAACCATAGAGGAAGGCATTTTGACATCCAATTAAAACAATGGCCAACCAAAGTGGACAGCTAGAGAAATAATTACACAAATAGAGCCCATTTTAGCAATTGGTGAGGAGGTATATTAGAATAGTCAATGTCATAGGTTTTTTTAGATATCCTTTCATCACTAGATGTGCCTTATACCGCTCTGCACTATCTTCAACCCAATGTTTCACTGTATACTGAAGGGATGAGAGATCCATCATATGGATAGCCGAACCCTACAAGAAGGTAGGGCGAAATTTCAAAAATTTTTCTCTCTCCCACGTGGGAATCGCATACCCTATTTTAGATAACTGCATTTTCAAGGATCAATCTTGAACCCAAACCAAACCAGATCTGAAACCAAAAGAGTAGGAGAGGGATATACCTGATACGGAGTAGTAGTAATCCCCAACGAAGGTGTTCACGCCCAAGGAGAATGCCAAAGACTGCTCTCACTAAAGATGTCACAGTGTAGGGTGGAGCAGAATCAGCAGGTGGTTCTTCAGTAAGAACCAAATTCTTCAACAAGAATTCGATGGAGGGTAATGAGCACGACTTCAGATCACCTTTTCTGCCAAAAGGTGATATTAAGAACCTTTCTTGATCGCTCCTATAGGTGGAGATCGAACTGGTATGGCAGTAGTAGTAGGAGGAAGCAAGAGCAAAAGACAAAGGCAGTCCAACTGTATTCTATCTTCTCTCTTGTATCAGCAGACTAAAGGATTTTCTGGAGGTTTTGCCTCCTCCTTTATTTATAGCCTTAAGGAGAGCATCTCCTAATCCTATTAGGAGTTTCCTAATCCAAATCTTTATTTAGATCAGGACTCTCTTTAAGAGATAAGAATAATCCCTTATCTTATCTGTAGATAAAGATCAGCCCTCCTAATCTAATTAGGAGTTTCTTAATCCAAATCTCTATTTGGATCTTGATTCTCTGAGTGGATAGGGACAATCCCTTATCCTATCTACTGATTTAAATCCCAGATCCACCCCTCTTTAATTAATCAGATTAAGCCAGTTCAAATTGGGCTTTAGGCCCATTAAGTCTATGTGTTCATTAGTCCTCCAAATTGTTGCCCAGTTGGATATCCTTGTATGGTGTGGGACCCAAACATTGATCTACACATCAACCACATGGGTTCAGCCTAGCCTCTATTACAAGGCCTGGCCGAATTCACTGTATAAAACAGTGAACCCCTGAGTCCATCACCATGGGCTCTTATTAGGCCCAACATTTACACTAAATGGTCCTTGGGTCAAGCCACCTTATAAAAACTCAAGGACTGTGGGTAGATGCAAGACTAGCCCATCAGGTATTACCCTCAATGGTCTTACACTTAACCTCTCAGCCCATAATGAT